CCCCCCCCCCCCCGCGGGCAGGCGGAGCGGGCTCCCTGGCGCCCCCTGGCGCCCCCTGGCCGGCGGCGGCTTCCGCTGAGCCGGGAGCGGGTTGTGGCTCCCTCCTCCCGAGCAGCGGCCTCTCCGGCGGCCGAGCCCAGATCCCGGCTCAGGTGGGAGTCCCGGACCGCGGCGCCTCCCCTCCTCCCTTCCCCTCCTCCCCCCTCCCTCCCCTCCTGTCCCTCCGCTCCCTCCCCGCGGCCGGCTGCGCCCGCTCCGGCTCCGGCGGCTCCGGCTGCAGCTCCCGCCAGCGCCGGCCCCTCCGGTGCGGGCGGCCCGCGTGGCCTCCGGGGCCGGGACCAGGTCGGCGGGTGCGGCGGGCGGGGCGGGGTGCGGCGGCCAGATCTCGGGGTCGCCGAGGCAGCCCGCGGGCCCAGGGGTGGCGCCGAGCGCGGCGGGTGGCGGAGGGGCGCTCGCGGGCTCCGCAGCCGGTCCCCCTGGGCGCCCGGCCGCCGCGGGCACCTCCGCGGGCACCTCCGCGGGCACCTCCGCTGCTGCTCCGGCCGGTGGCCGCCGCCGGGTCCGGGCACCGCGGGGGGCGCCCCGGCCACTGCCCGGATGCCTGCAGCTGCCATCGGTCCGCGGCCTGCAGCTGCGTCTGTCTGGAGCATCGCCCAGGCCACCCTGTGGTCCCCGCGGTCCCGGCAGCCGCGGAGCTCCCTCTCACCTTTCGGCTTTCCGTTTGCTCTTGCCTCCGTGCCTCCTGCAGGCTTTGGAAAGCACTCTGGTGCAGGGGTCGGGAGCCGCCGCTTTGCTGAGGGGAAAAGCGGCTCCGCTGCTGAAGCTCCCACGGCCTGGGAGGCCCCCGCCCCTCCCCGGGGCCTGGGAGGACTCCACACCCTCCAGCCTCCCAGCCCCGGGTGTGCCTCCTGCACCCGCAGTCGCCGGCGCCAGCCCATGCAAGTGGGTGTGTGCCTGCCAGGCTCTGCTCTGATTTAGATTTTCCCCTGACCTAAGCATTGGATCCGTGGGCTTAGTCGCGGCTGGAGCCCAGTCCAGGACGATACACGTGGATAACCCAAGGGCAGGAGGACTGGCCACAACAATGACTTTATTTCTGGGGGGTGAGTCAAAGGGCAGGACGTCCGGCCTCTCTCAGGGAGGCTCCAGCCCCGTCAGAGGGACTCAGTGAGGGTTACTGTGCTGAGAGCAGCACGCTGTCTGCTGCAGGAATGCTTACCCGCCTCAACCACTGCTGCCTGCACACAGCGGACATCTCCTTCCCGCCCAGCTCCAGGCTGGTACCTGTAACGCTGAGTGTGGTTTCATTAAGGCAGAGAGAGCACCAGCAACCAGGCCTGTTAGTTAGGCCTTAGCTCACTAAATGCCAGACCCTTGGCTTACAGGTTATCTCGTCAAATTGTTTTCTCTCTTACTATTTCCATTGACTCAGAATATCACCAGGTAGTAAAATCCACTTCTGCATCTTTTTAAGGTAACATGTTTCATTTCTGACGGCTTTATATATATGAAACATTACAACAGCTGCTGGGGAGTTTTGAGGATTAAAGTGTCAAATATGTTCATTATAAGATACTATTACTATTTTTAAATATATATATATATATATTTGTTGATTTTAGAGAAGAAGGGAGAGAGAGAGAGAAACATCAATAGTGAGAGAGAGCCCTTGATCGGCTGCCTCCTGCATGCCTCACCCTGGGGATCAAGCCCTCAACCTGGGCAAATGCCCTGACTGGGAATTGAATCGTGACCTCCTGGTTCATAGATCAATGCTCAGTTGCTGAGCCATGCCAGTTGGGCGATACTATTACTATTAAATGTACTTTCTGTAAAGATTTTAAAATTGATTTTTAGAGAGAGAGGAATGGAGAAGGAGAAAGAAACATCAATGTGAGAGTGAAACACTTATCAGCTACCTTCCACATGCCCCCTACTGGGGATCAAGCCTGCAACCTGGGCATGTGCCCTGACTTAGAACTGAACCTACAACCTTTGGATTTTTTATACTAAGGGCTAATTTATACTTTTAAACTTTATAAACTTGCGATCAACTCCCTGTTCGATAAAAGTCCTAACCAAAAAGATTAATTCAGATCACCCTCACAACAGATCACAGTACAGACTGGCTCCACCTAAAAGAACATCCGAGTTTACACTCCAGAGGGAAAGGGTCTCTCCGGGGTGACTCCTTGTCGGGAGGGACCTGCTGGCCTTGGAAGTTGGGGCTTAATGGAGCAGAGTGGTCTGCTTCTGAAAGCTTCTTCCTCTCCCCGCTTCCCTGCGGCCCCCCCCCCCCCCCCCCATCGCCCTCAGTGAACAAACACTGATTTTGAAAGCTGAGTTTCCCAGTGTGCCCTGGTGACAGCAGACCTAGCCTGGAGCAGCTAAGGTGTATACAGCTCGATCACTTGTGGAAAGAGCACTTTTTTAAAATAGAGAAAAAATACCACTCAAGTGAACCGGAAGATCATTGTCTGTGATATGTTGTCTACGATTCTGTGATTATTGTCTACCAGAGGCCTGGTGCACGAGTTTGTGCACGGATGGGGTCCTGAAGGAGTAGGGGGAGCTGGGACATGAAACTTATGCACTGAGGTGGGGGATCCCTCAGCCCGGCCTGTGCCCTCTCACAGTCTGGGAGCCCTGTGATCTATCGATCGCCCCAAAGAGGTAGGCCCTGCCCACCCTGCCAGGGCTCCACAATGGATTGTACCTGCAAAAGGAGGCCTCGCCCACCCACCACAGACCACCAGGCCACCGCCTGGACCTCCCTCTTTGGGGCGATCATGGAGCCCCCTGATTGATCGATCACCCCGCTGGCCAGTGTCCTGGGCAATCATGGGATGATGGCTGGGCCCCCGACCAATCGCATCGCACCTGCCTTGGCTGGCCTGGCACCAGTGGGTATCATAGTGTGGTTATCTGGAAGGCCGTCCAGAAGGGAGTTCGGCTGCCTGGTCTCATTAGCACATAGATGACCATAGGTTATTATAAGTAGGTGATATAGAGGGAAATCTGGTCCAAGAGGGTCAGATGGGGAGAGTTGGAAGTGCACTGAGGTCTGTAACCGTTACCTGAGCAGGACCAGGAGAGCCTGGGGGAGAGCCTCGGGAGGCAGACTGCCTGGATTCCACACTGGAGTTTCCACATCTTAGCTCTTACAGCCATCAGAGCTTGTACACGCAGGAGCATGTTAGCGCCGCAAGGGCAGGGATCCAGTCCCGGCTGCGTGCGGTTGCTGCGTCGTCGGTGCCGAGTCCCTGGCACGTGGTGTGCTGGCTCACACTGGTTGTCTTATCATCGCACTCAGCAGCCCCGCTGGCTCCGAGTCACGGCACTGCTTTTCCTGTCTCTCTGCCTGTGTCCCTGCTCCTCCTCACCCAGGTCTCCGCTCAGACGGCATCGAGCATCCTGCACCCATCCAACATGGCTTTAAACATTTGTTGTATTTTACTTTATTTTTTTAAAAAAAAGATGTTTTTATTGATTTCAGAGCGGAAGAGAGAGAAACATCAATGATGAGAGAGGATCATTGACTGGCTGCCTCCTGAATGCCCCACGTGGTGGATCAGGGATCGGGGATTGAGCCCCCAGCCATGGGCATGTGCTCTGACTGGGCATTGAATTGTGACTTCCTGGTTCATAAGTCGAGGCTCAACCACTGAGCCACGCCAGCCAGGCTAAACATTTATTTACTAAACATACAAAATTTAACTAAGCGGTACATCTAAACACTTTAGCAATATTTAACGCATAACTTTAATAACGAAGGCTTATTAAAATTTACATTTTACAGATGGAAAAGCTGAGGTACAGAAAACTTAAATAACTTGCTCGAGGTCATACAGCTTAGGAAGCTGCATCTGGATTCAAACCTAGTTGGTCCAGTTTTAAAGTCCAAGTTCTTAACTATGTTATGCTATGTTGTCTATCACATTACTTTTATTTCAGACACCAGCAAACTGGGTCATATTAAGGCCTTCCATTTTTGTAAATAAAGTTTTATTAGAACAGCCACACACCCCCTCCTGCTGCTGCTTTCCTGACAAAGGCACAGTGGAGTAGTTGTCACAGAGACTGTACAGCCTGCGAATGGTCACCAGCCCTGGGGTTACTTGAGTCATAACCCTTGCCATCATCTGCAGTTGTGTGTGTTTATTTTATGTCTCTTGTTCTAGGTTACTAGCTCCAGGAGAGCAGAGGTTTTCTTGCTTTGTTCTCCCCTGTATTTTTAGCTCTGATAAGAAAAAAATATTCTGAAATGTTCTCAATTACAGCAGCTGGAGAGCGAGAGAAAGAGACAGAGCTGTTAGTCTGAGAGTGGCTTCGGGCTGTGCTAGTCACATTCTTGTTTTACCTGTTGGGATTTGGGTTAATTTCCGGTGGATGTTCTGCAGATTATTTTAGCCAGGCACCATCTAATCCCAGCGACCCCTGCTTCTCCCAGCCAGCCCACGGGCGCTGGCGTTTCTCTGCAGACTCGCTGTCTCCTGCGGGTGTCGCCGCCCCCGCCGCTGTGCCTGCAGCTCCGGTAAATTCTTCCCGACCTTTCCTTCTTCCCCTGGCCTCCTGGGTGTGTAATGATGCTTGCCAAACGCTGGAGGACAAACATGCTTTACCTCCTTGCATGCTGCTGCGGGTTCAGACTCCGTGCCCCAGGACCCATCTCATTTTGGCTAGCTTCTTTGGCTCAAGAAAACCTTACTTTTAAAAAGACTTGTAAAAAAGATAAAGACTTGTCATAAAGATACGTTTTTTACAAAGTGAAAAGATTTGCAGCCACGGAAATTAAGAAGTTTTAACGTAACAGCTCCTAACACGGGGCCTGGCACAGAACAGGCGCACCATAAATGCTGTGTTTATGGAATAGAGGAACATTATGCAGTGATGGAGCCAGGTTCATTGTCATTATGCTGAGCGCTTGTCCTCTCCGAGATCGTTGAAGGACATGTTTTGAGGGCCGTGTTTACAATTTGACCTCCAGGCGTGGAGCTGCG